GCAGGTACCGCTCCTCGTCTGCTGAACGGCTTTGGGCTTGGCCTGACCTGCAGAAAAGAGATACCAATGTCACCGGGACCGCCGCTGTGCCCGGCGCCGGCTCACCGCTCGCCGGCGAGGGAGCCCTAGGGGTGGGCCGGCCTGCGGCGTACGCCTTCTGGGGACAAGTAGGAAGCTTTCGAGCAGCGTGATGGCAAGAGCCCCTTTCAGTAGCGTCACGTGCCCTCTCCACGCCGCCTTTTACAGGAGGGGCTCCCAAGGGCTCTGCTGTGCATTCGCAGCTGAGGCATCCCACCAACGCTCCTCGCTTTCTGCTTTCCCAGCTAGAGCTCTTGACTTCCAGCCCAGGTATATGAAACACAGGTACACGGGGCTCGGTACTGACAGTGCCCTGGACTTCGGGCAGCGAAGCTCAGCGAGTTAGTTTTTTAACAAAACGAAGGCACTGCTTTTATAAAGAAGGGTGGGTTTTTTTTTTTATTCAGAGACGTGCTTTATCTCGTACTGACACCAACCGCATTTACGTGCTTCCCGCATTTGCCCAACAGGATATTAAAATTATACAAACTGAATTTGACCGGTCTCTTTGCCCTTTTTTCACCACAGCAACCAGAATTCAGCAAATTCTCACTGAAATTATTACACCTTTTTTGAGCGTCAGTTGCTTATCCCTTTGGTATCGAGTTAATGCCTGAGGATCGCGTTGAGCCGAGATTAACGCGGTGGAGGCGAAGAGCGCCGTGGGTCAGTGGGTTGCAGTTACACGCTTGGCCGTGCTCTAGGTTTGTCAGGCATCGATTAACATTCCACCTGGGAACCTCCACCGTGTTACAAGGGGAGCTGTTACGGCACGACATAGCCTGGGGGTCTGTTTTCCTCTTGAATGTCGTCCTGGTGATCGTTGCTTGCACGGCGGCCTCACTTTTTCTGGTGCCTTGGATGGCTGCTGCGGTAGTTGTTAGCTCAGCACCGATCAGCGTAGGGTCAGAGTTTAAAGAACAGGGTGCACCAGCACTTAAATTACGTTGTGATTCATAGGGGAGCCGAGGATCGGGGCTGACTGTATCCCGAACCCTTGACCCTTGTTTCTTTTCCGTCTTGCCTCCTAAACCTCCTGCCTTCGTTCCCCGCTTCCTCACGCCCGTCCTTTCCACGGAGCTCGCAGGATCCCTGGGGAACTCGCGTGTTTTCACCTGCCCTCGCTGGGAGAGGAGGTTTGGATCCAGCTCGATCGCCGAGGCCTCGTGAAGGGGCCGCGGGGCTCCGTCCCGCTCGCCTCTTCCTCTGCAAGCGCTCCCGTGCGAGGCCCGCGCCGGCCGGTTACCGTCCTCCGGCACGGCTTGAGCTCAGGAACGCCTGGTCCTGCGGCGCTTCGCGTCCGTGCCGCTGAGGTGGCCCCGGGAGGTGGCCCCGGGAGGCGGCCGAACGGCGACCCGGCTTTCAGGGACGGGGGGTCCTCGC